TGTTTTATGTTTTTTAATACCCGCTCCCTTTTTTCCCCCCCCCCTTTTAAAGGGAAGGGAGTTTTTTTTTTTTTTTTTTTTTGAGACAGGGTCTCCCTGTAGACCAGGCTGGCCTTGAACTCAAGAAATCTGCCTGCCTCTGCCTCCCAAGTGCTGGCACTAAAGGTGTGTGCCACCACTCCCAGTTAGTATTTCTTTTCATTATAAAGACAGAAAAGCTCAAAGACACAAAGTAACTTGCTCAAAGTCACATTGGCTCCCAAGTGAGTGCTCAGATTTGAACCTAGGTCTGCTAAGCTGCCACTGAAGACATTGTGTGAAACAGGCACCTGGATGCCCAACTAACTGACAGGTGAGTAAATGGGGTCTCAATCACACAGTGGTATGGGCTTAACCCAGGACAGAAGTCCAGGTGTCCTGCCTGACAGCACAGATTCACGTCAGAGCCCCTCACTGGATTCTGCTCTTGGCTCCTTCACTGGCTGGACCTGCTTCCACTCCCACCTGGCCCCCACCTTCTCTGAGTGGCGGAAGTGCCTCCAGAAGAGGTTGTACATTCTTCGGGTAGTCTTCTCTGGGTAGCAGGCCACCGTCTTGATATAGACCTTGAGATTCCGCTCCAGGAGCTGGTTTACCTCCCCGTAATCGTAGTCATCGTATCTGATGGAAAGACCCCAACAGCATTACTCATGCCCCACAAGTGGCTCACCTCCTCTACTCTCACCCTACAGAAGGAGGAACAAAGAGTGGCGAGAAAAGCCAGATGGTAGGAAGCAACGGGAAGCCTGGTTCTTTTTAGAAAAACAGTTGGTCTCATATGTCATAGGCTGCCAGACTTGGAGAGGACCACTCTGAGTGACATGGATGGTGGGCATGCTGCATTGAGCTATGTGCCATGTGGGCATGTAATCATGAATCTTCAAAACTATGTTTCTGTGATATATAATGTACTGTGCCGATCAACCCCACTTTACTGAGATTAGGAGAATTGAAGTCACCAGCCATACTCAGCAGGGAGTGATTTTCAAAGCCAGACTCTATCTGACTCAAAGGCCAAAGTGACCATTCTACAGTAAAGGACAGGAAGGTGGAGGGGATCAGTGCGTATTTATCCAGAATGATGTGGATAAGAGCAAAAAGGAGCTGGCGCTGATTTTACAGGAGGGCAAACTAAGTCCTAGAGAAGACAATCAGCTTGTTCAAAATCAAAAAACAAGGTGGGGACAAGTCTAGAAACCACCTTTTACTCCCTAGTTCAGAACATGTATTTGTACATTTAAAAAAGAAGAAGGTAGGGTCTGGCTTGGTAGCAGATGCCTTTAATTCCAGCACTTGGGAGGCAGAGGCAAGCAGGTATCTGTGAGAGGCTAGCCTGGTCTACATAGCCAGTTCTAGGCCAGCCAGGGCTACATAGTGAGACCCTGTCTCAAAAATCAAAACAAAACAAAAAGAAAATACTTGACAATACTCAGAGAAGATGATCTCATGAGGGCTTTATTTTTATTTTAGTTTTTTTTTTTTTTTTTTCAGAGAGGGTATCATGTAGCCCAGCTGGCCTCAAACTTGCTATGTAGCCAAGGATGCCCTTGAATTCCTAACCCTCCCATCTCTGCTTCCTCAGTGCTGGATAACAGGTGAGTCACCACACCCAGTTTTCCTGGATGAATTTTTTGTTCTTTTCTGTCACATATGCTTGCTTTATTTTCTATAAATCAAGTGATCTGTTTCTCTTAAAAAAAGTTTTTTTGTATACTTTATTTTGCCTGCATGTACGTAAGTGCACCATATGTATGTAATGCCACAGATGTCAGAAAAGGGCATCAGATCCCCTGGAGCTGGAGTTACAGCCAGTGTGGGTGCTAGGAACCACACTAGTGTTCTTAATCTCTGAGCCATCTCTACAGTCCCAATTTGTTTCTTGACAAACATCTAACATTTCCTTCCTTCCTTCCTTCCTTCCTTCCTTCCTTCCTTCCTTCCTTCCCTCCCTCCCTCCTGAGGATTTTCCTGTGTAGCCTAGGTTGGCCTCAAACTAAGGCCAACAAAGGATTAAATAGTGTGCACCACCACACCCAGCTCAAATTTATGGTAATCCTGCCTTAGCCTCCAAAGTACTGGGATTACAGACAGAGGTGTGTACCACTATACCTGGCATCAATTTATTTTTTTCTTTTTCTCTCTCCTTTTAATACTGTTTGAGAGTTGTAAACATTTATACAATGAATTTTAATCGTTTTCACCCCAATTCCCCTCTTTCACCCCCCCCATCTCCTACTAAAACCTTTTTTCCCAACAAGTCTTCCTCTGACTTTGATGTTTTTTTTGTGTGTGTGACCTGCTGAGTTTAATTACAGCTTCTTGTTTGAGTGTGGGTGGGAGGTTATTTACTGGAACAAGGGCAACTTATCAGCAGCTAAACCACTATAGAAAATGACACCCCTTCACCCAACGACCTTTAACTGCCAGTAGTCCCTCAGGGCGTGGACCTCATGGCTCCTCCCCATCCATGATGAAATGGCCATAGGTCTTGTGCAGACCACCTCAGCTGCAGTGAGTTCATGAGTGCAACAGCCAGGTCATGTCCAGAAGCTGTGTTTTGGGGGTCTATCTCCCTATCCTCTGGTTCTCACATTCTTTTCACCCCATCTTCTTTGATGTTCCCTGAACCTTGGAGATTCTTAAAAATTATTACTTATGTATATATTTATTGGTATTATTGTTTATGTGGGCATGAGTGCCACAGCATGCATGTATGGAGGTCAGAGGGCAGATTTGTGGAATGAGTTCTCTCCAGATTGAATTTAAGCACCTTTACTTGCTGAGTTATTTCACAGTCCCATCTAATTTTTCTTTCTTTCTTTTTTTTTTGAGACAGGGTCTCCCTATAGCCCCACCTGTCCTGGAACTCATTATATAGACCAGGCTGGCCTTGAACTCAGAGATCTCCTGCCTCTACCTCCCAAGTGCTGGGACTAAAGGCGTGCACCACCATGGCCAGCTCCAACCTAATTTTTCAAATGGAATAACCAATACAATTTCCACTATGCTGTAAAAGAAAGAGAAAGAAGCTGGGCTTCGTAAATCCCAGGACTCAGGGGGAAAAGGTAGGTAGACCTCTGTAAGCTTGATGCCAGCAGCCTGGTCTACATAAGAAAAACCCTGTCTAAAAACGAAAAAGAGAGAGAGTGAGAGCACCAGGTATGATAGCTCACACCTGTAATCCTAGCATTTAGGAGACTAAATTAGAGGGACTGCTGTGAGTTCAAGGTCAACCTGGGCTAGAGTGAAAACTTGCCTCAAAAGAAGGGGGGTGGGGCTAGAGAGACTGTTCAGTGGTTAAGAGCACTTGGTTCAGTTCCCAGCACCTACATGGTGGCTAACATTCATTCTTAACTCCAGTTTCAGGGGATCCAATGCTTTCTTCTGACCTCCATGGTTATTGTACAAATGTGGTGCACTTACATACATGCAGGCAAAACACTCATACACATAAAATAAAAATAAATAAAATAAAAAATTCAGACTGGGTGTGGTGTTGCATGCCTTTAATCCCAGCCATCAGGAGGCAGAAGCAGGCAGATTTCTATAAATCTGAGGCTGGTCTACATGGTAAGTTCTAGGCCAGTCAGGGCTACATCGTGAGACCCTGTCTCAAAAAATGTGTGTGTGTGTGTATGTATACACACACATACACACACACACACACACACACACACACATATATATATATATCTTAAAGACAAATAATTTTATTTTATTTGGGGAATTTATCTACAAGAACATGTGTGAAAGGTTATAGGTCTGACACCCCCAGCAGGCAGAGGTGCTGGCCCACACCAGGGAGGCCAGAGAAGCAAGGAGAATCACAAATTGGAGTAAACCTACACAGCACGAGTCGGCCTCAAAATCAAAAGTAAAATAAGTAACAACAAAAAAGAAAAACCAACCCTACAAACAACCTACCTACTCAACAGGAAATGTCATACCAATTTTTAAAAACTTCCTCAAAAATCAGGAAAAGAGTGAGTGGGCCAGCAAGACGGCTCAGTGCGTACAGGCACTTGTCGCCAAGCCGATGACCTGAATTTGACCTCTCAGCTCCACAAGGTGGAGAGAACCAACTTCCACAAGCTGTCCGACTTCCACATATGTGCCATGGCATGCACTTGTACATATACACACTAAAATAAATAAATGTAATTTTTAATCAGAAAAGATGTAACAACTAAAATAAAAAATTTAACTCACCATACTACACTGTATAGAGATAACCACTATCAAATATTTTAGTGTATAGCTTTCTACACATTTTTCTCGGCACACAGAAGCATTTCAGTAAAAAAGGAACAGAAAGACTGGATGACAGCCAACTTTTTTTCTCAATACAATCTGAACTTTTCCCCATGAAAATAAAAATAGGTCTCTACTGTAATTTTCCTTCAGACTGAGAGATCTGCCTCTCAGGTGCTGGGACTAAAGGTGTGCACCACCATGCCATCATCACCTAGTCTTTTTAAGCAGGGGTCTCACAAAGCCCAGGCTGGCCTCAAACTCTCTATGTAGCTAAGGCTGGCAGTGAACTCGTAACCCTTCTCCCAAGTGCTGGGATCACAGACATGCATTGACATGCCTAGCTCTATTCTTTGTTTTTGTTTTAAGAAAGGGTCTTTCTTGCTTTGTAACCAGACTGACCTGGAACTGTACATCCTAGGTTGAATTAGCTTATTTTATTATTTAAATCTTTTTTTTAAGTTTTTTTTTTTTTCTCTTTTTGTCTTTTTGAGATGGGGACTCCCTATAGCCCCAGCTGTCCTGGCAGAGATGACTGAATCTAAACCTTTGACACACATAGTAGGTAAGCACTCTACTCCCGAGCTACATCCCCAGCCCTCAATTGTAATCTTTAAGAAAAATGTTGGGGCTGGAGAGATGGTTCAGTGGTTAAGAGCCCTAACTGCTCTTGCAGAGGACCCGGGTTTGATTCCCAGCACCCACATGGCAGCTATGAACTCTAATTCCAGGGGAATCTGACACTCTCTTCTGACCTCTGCAGCACTGCATGACACGGGTGCACTCACATACATGCAGGCAATACACTCATACACATAAAATAAAAATAATAAAAAAAAAGAAAAATGTAATAGTTCGCTGAGTGGATATATCATTATTTAAAGTCCTCTGCTGATGACTGTCTATGTTGTCCTTAAGATGTGCAGAGCCAGCCAGGTGTGGTGGTGCAAGCCTTTATAGTCCCAGCACTCGGGAGGCAGAGGCAAGCGGAAATCTGTGAGTTTGAGGCCAGCGTGGTCTACACAGTGAGTTCCAGGCCAGCTGGGACTATAGGGAGACCTTGTCTCAAAAAGACAACAACAAAAAGATGTGCCAAGGCAGGGGTGGTGGCACACACCTTTAGTCCCAGCACTCGGGAGGCAGAGGCAGGCAGATATCTGTGAGTTTAAGGCCAGCCTGGTCTACATAGGGAGTTCCAGGACAGCTGGGGCTACAGGGAGACCCTGTCTCAAAGACCAAAAAAAAAAAAAAAAAAAGAAAAAGAAAAAAGATGTGCTATTTTGAAATGTAAACATGACTATATGTAGTGTATACATGTATGCACATTTATGTATGCATTTGTGTAGAGGTGTGTGAATACACACATGCATACACACACATATATTTATACACACACACATATTTATACACACACACACACACACATAAATCCATAGTTGAAGGGCCTGGTGGAGCAGGCCTGTAAGCCTAGCACTCAAGAAACTGAGGCAGGAGGATTGTCAAGTATTCAAAGTCAGCCTAACCACATGGGAACTTCTAGGATAGCCTGGTATAGAGAGAGATTCTGTCTTAAAACACCAAAGAAATAAAATTACATAAAATAACATAAAATAAAAAAAGAGTGCTTATCTGGCATACACGAGGCCCTGGGTTCAATTTTCAGTATCAAATAAGGAAATAAAATAAAACAAAATCCAGTTGTCTCTAGTTTCATTTATATTTATAAAGTTTAAACAATGAACATTCCTATCAGTTTTTCAACTTATAAAAACATAAACTTGATTTAAAAAATAGTACAGCTAAGAAAAGAAAAAGAAAAAAACGAGGAAAATAACAGAGAGCTTAGAGGAAAGACTTGTAGCACAAACATGCCTGGAACGAGGGGACATGTGCTCACCTGATACCAAAGACACAGTGGATGTAGTTCCAGATAGCCCTGCGGAGCATGGAGGTGTCCACACCACTATGCATGGCGATGGTGTTGTAGGTGAGGCTGTAGGCTGCCTGGAACTTCTCGTCCAGCAGCTGTCCTCCCTCAGGGTAGAGCCGCTGAATCAGCGAGTAGCCATGGTCTTCCCAGGTATAATCCTGAGGAATGAGGAAAGAGGTCAGTAAGTAGTTGGCCAGAGATCTGTCCTCTGGATTCATACCTCAGCACTCCACAGTTCCTTCCCTGAACCACAATCTGACACACTGCGTGCTCTGAGCCTGAGAAGCCAATGAGGATGTACTTGGATGATGACCTTCTCCTGGAATCAGGACCTTCGGAACTTAGGATGCAGATGAGACCTTTGAGGTCTTTACTGTCTTCATGGGCTTTATAGCCATTCAAGTCGTTTGCCCCTGTTTATACGCAAATCAGTGCAGCCAGCTTTACCTGGGCACGGAAGGTAGGGGGTGCCTGTGCTCCTCGCCGTGTGAAATCTTCATATCCAAAAGTGGGATCCTCCACAAAGCAGAGCATGTCTGGGCGTGGAGAGGGCTCCAGGATGTCCGCTGCGGGCCATGTCAGAAAGAGGTGACAGTGAGCCAAGGTGCAGAGCACACCAGGCTCATTTCCTGATTAATCATCAAAAAGGGGCATGGGGAGGTACAGTAGAGGCCAGAGTGAGTCGCTCTCCACAGTAAGTGGGTGAAGAATTTTAGTTGGAGTCTCACCTGGGGAGGATGTGACTCAGGCCCTATGCCCTCCACAGCTCCCCCTGTCCCCTAGCAGTAATAGTGGCAGCTCTACAGAGTGGCTCACCCTGGGAAAGGCTCTGAGCTTTGCCTCATTTACCTGACACACCAATTCTGAAGCCCTGAAAGGCTAACGAAGCAAAATTCAAAGCCAAATCTGAACCCAAGGCCCATGCTCAGAACCTCTTAAGGAAAGCTGAGCAGTGGCTGCCTCTGGAGTGATGCATGGAGGTGTCTGCTCCCATCAGAAATGGGACTGGAATGCCTGGGACTGTGTACCTGATGGGGTCACCAGAAGGCTCTCTGACTTCTCCAGCTCAAAGCGGTTCTCCATCTCCTCCTGGGATGCTCCCTCATCCCGAAGCAGACTCTCCTGCAGCTGTCTCATGCGTTCCATCAGAGCTTCCACGTCCCGGGCTGCTTCAAAGCCCTGTAAGGAGGGACCCAGTGATCACCACCCATTCTTCTCTTCCAGGCCCTCTGGAAAATTCCACTCAGACTTCCCACACACCAGGCCTTCCCAAAGGATCAAAAAGAACTAGGTCAGGTTGGGTGTGATGATGCACACCTTTAATCCCAGCACTCAGGAGGCAGAGGCAGGTGGATCTCTGAGTTTCAGGCCAGCCTGCTCCATAGTGAGTTCCAGGCCAGTCTGAGCCACAGAGTGAGACCCTGCCTCAAAAGCAAAACAAATAAAATTAAAAAAAAAAAAAAAAAACTCAAAGCATTCCCAAATAACTATCTGCAACTCTAGCTCCAGAGGATCCAACACCCTCTTCTGGCCTCTGCAGACATTACATGCATGTGGTGCACTTACATACACGTAGGCAAAACACTCACACACATTTAAAAAAAAAAAAAAAAAAGAAAAAAATCAAACCCCAAACGAAACAACACAGCTGACTGTGATACTTTACTCACTCCTCACAACCACTGTGACTAGGGTCTTTACCCCATGTAACAGATAAGGAAACAACTTTTCTATGGCCTCTCCTGTGGAGAAGTGGGGAAACAATAGCTTCTATCTAGCCCAGGACCACAGGCCACACCAGCTTCCTCTACCACCAAGACCCAGGATGGTGACTTACCCCAGAGTTGTTCAATGGGTCTCCACTGGGGGGGCTGCCTTGTTCACTAGGGGGTGAGGGTGCCTGGGGAGCAGGGTTGCCCTCTGCATCTCCCTCAGGAAGGATTCCACAGCCAAACACGAAGGAGGACAGCGAGTGGCAGTGGCTGAGCAGGACCAGTGCTTGGATGAGCTCAGCCAGGGACCAGCTGTGCTCACCAGTCTTCAATAAGGCCTAGAGGGGAGGAAAGGCCAGCTGCTTAGTGACTGCCCCTGGGCTGTCCCAGCACAACCCCTGGGCTTCCTGAGCGTCCCCAACTCTTTACCCACTGCACCTGGATATGATCCTTGGTGATGAGCCAAGGTCGATGTGCCAGTAACTTATTAATCTCGCTGAGTTTGCGCAGCTTCTCGGGGGCCCGGTGGAGGCCCAGCAGCCATTCAGGGTCACCACCAGTCTGCAGGAACTCAGCCATGTGGGAGCCCACCAGGTAAGAACACTGGTGGCGGGCAGCAGCCTGTGAAAGGAGTTGATAAGCCTGAGTCACCCTCTTCCTGTGGCCCATTTGGATGGGTCCCTTTGGGATCAATGAGGCAGAAAATCTAGATTCTAGCTCCAGTTCCACCACCAGCTTCAGGTTATCTGGTCCCTCTGCACCTCAATTTGCTAGTCAGCCAAGTACATACTAAAGATGCCTCTCCTTAAAACCTCAAATTCTATGGATGTCATCCCATAAAGTTAGGCTTTCACTCCTCATCTATGCTATCAACTCAGGAAGCTCCAGCAAAGAAATGAGGATAGAAACATCATCTGGCCACCCCTGCAAGCGTCAGACCCGGACAAGCTCACCATGATGGCAATGTAGTGGCGCCAGGAGCTGGCCAGGGGCCCATCCGTGTGCAGCAACAGGTAATGCAGGCGCCAAAAGCTGCTAAGGTAGTCGGGGTGCAGACCCATCACCACTGCCAGGTTGTCCACTCGCCCTGAAGACATTAGAGCCTCCAGCCCCAGGTGCTGCTCCAGGCTCTCAGCCCCTTCCCGAAGGACCTGTCAAGCAAAGAGAAGAGCATGGGTTCACACTCCTGCCCTCCCCAACACAGACCAACATCCTCTCTGAACACCACTGCATCCAAAAGAGGAAACTGATTAAACAAACACTTAATAGGCACCTTAAGTTTACTATGTGTCAAGAGCTATTCAAGTACTTTATATATATATAAACTCAAGCCTCAAAACATCTAGGAAATTAGAATTCTATTTTTCTCTATTTTTATTTAGCTTTTTAAATTTATTTATTTATTTATTGCCAGGTATGGTAGCACATGCCTTTAAGCTCAGCACTTGGGAGGCAGAGGCAGGCAGCTCTCTGTGAGTTCAAGGCCAGCTTGGTCTACATAGTGAGTTTCAGGCCAGGGAGACCATGCCTCAAAAAGGCAAAAAAAAAAAAAAAAATCATTTATTTTTATTTTTATTTTATGTGTATGAGTGTATTGCCTGCCTGTGTGTAAGTGCACCCTTATCACGAAATGCCTGAGGAAGTCAGAGAGGATGTTGGATTCCCTTGGAACTAGAGTTACAGATGATTGTTAGCTGCTATGTGGATCCTGCGACTGGAACCCAAGTCCTATGTCATTGTTCTCAACTGCTAAGTCATCTCTGCAGTCCCTATTAATGAATTAATTTTCATTTCAGTGCTGAGGATCAAACCTAGGGCCCCACTCATGCTCAATAAGCACTCTACCACTGAGCTACATTCCTAGCTCCTTTTTCATTTTTAGACATAAAAACTTAGGCACAGAAATTATAAAGAATGGTTGCTGGGGAATGCTTAGCCTAGGCCTTAGGTTCAGTCCCTGGCCCTAGAAAAAAATGTAGTTCCTCCTGCCTTCATAGAATTTCTATTCTAATACAGCAAATGCATACAACTACAGAGGGCAGGGGGTAGGTACAAAACAGTTCACATCACATTTCCTGAATGTTTTCTCCACACCATGTCTCATGAACAGCTTTTGCTATTTAACCTCATTGAATTTTTTTTTTTAAGACACGGTCTCATGTAGCCCAGGCTGGCCTTAAACTCACTATGTAGCCAAGGGTGATCCTGAACTTTTGATCCTCCTACCTCCACCTTTCAAATGGTGGAATTATAGGCATGTATCATCATGGCTAGTTTATGTGATGCTGGGGATCAAACCCACACTAGACACTCTATCAACTGAGCTAACTGAGCTACATTACATCCCAGCCCCTCTTCCTCCCTCCCTTCTTCCTCCTCCTCTTCTTCCTCTTCTTTTGTGGTACTGTGTACTGAACCCAGGGCCTTGTGCATGCTAGGCAAGTACTCTACCACTGAGCTACCTCTCCAGCCAATATCCTTGGATGTTTGAACTAATCCTGTAAAGTGAATACTATTATTTTCCCTCATTGACAGATGAAAACACTTTATCTGCTTAAGGCCACAGATCTGATAAATGACAGAAATGGGATTCAAACCCAGATGAACTCCAAGGCCTACTTCTTTCTTTTACTATAAAAGAGTCACTATTTATAAGTGAAAAAATACAAGAGGAGGAGAAAATGTAGAATTTAGATATTTGTAGGCAGGCCATCAACCATTTGGCCTATCTATGTAGGAGACCACAGTTTGAGGCCAGTCTAATCTACACAGTGAGTTCTAGACAAGCCTGGACTATTGGGGGAGAACATCCCAAAGCCAAAAAACAGAAAATGGAAATTTCATCCCTATACAATGAAGACTTAAGTGAGCAATCAACTTTTCAGTTCTTCTATATGTGTAATCTGAAGGTGTCCCACCACTCCCACATACTGGAACATAAACTCTGTGAGCCTAGAACTCACTATGTAGACCAGGCTGGTCTTGAACTCTCAGAGATCTGCCTGTCTCTGCCTCCCAAGTGCTGGGATTAAAGGCAAATAACTATCTCTTAAATGAATGAATCAATGGGGTCTAGACGGATGTATCTTAATGGTGAAGCACTTTCCTAGCATGGATGAGGCCCTAGATTTGATGCCTGGCACAGCAAAAAAATTAATTAAAAAATAAAGCAAATAGGTAACAATGGATCGGGTATGGTGGCTCACACCTGTTATCCCAGCACTGGGGAGGCTAAGGCAGGAAGATCATGAGAATTTGAGATCAGTTTGGGCTATAAAGTGAATACTAGGCCAGCCTGGTCTGCAGAGTAAGACCCTAACTCAAAACCAAAGTAATGCCGGGCATGGTGGTGCATGCCTTTAATCCCAGCACTCAGGAGGCAGAGGCAGGCAGATCTCTGTGAGTTCAAGGCCAGCCTGGTCTACATAGTGAGTTCCAGGACAGCTGGGGCTACAGGGAGACCCTGTCTCAAAGAGACCAAAAAAAACAACAAAAAAAAAACCAAGTAACAATAAAATGAATGGATGAACTGATCCTGGAGAGGAAGGATATCTCTACTGTATTGTAAAGAAACAAATAAGCTTTAAACTCTGACCTTGTACTGAAAATACAGTAATGATCTCTTCTGGGGGAAAGGTAGAGATGAGAGATCTCTCTCTCTCTCTCTCTCTCTCTCTCTCTCTCTCTCTCTCTCTCTCTCATCTTAAAATTTGTGTGTATTGGGAGTGTCTCTGACTCTTTCTCTATATCTCTGCTGGCTGGCCTGTTACACCCTAGGTAGCCTAAGCTAGTCTCAAACTTGTGGCAATCTGCCCATCTCAGTTTCCCAGAACTAAGATCACAGACGCAAGCTACCATGCCAAATCAGACCAGGAATTTCTGTAGCACTGGAAATGTAAAAATACTTTTGACACAGAATCTCTTGTTATATATGCCTTTTTATAAGTGGTCGAGGTCATGGGTGAGTGATATACAGAACAATTTCTATCTAAAGAAAACACGCCAAAAAGATTAAAAAAAAAAAGAAGAAGAAAAGAAAAGAAGCAGGCATGGTGGCATATCCCTTTAATCCCAGTACTCAGGAGGCAGAGGCAGGTGGATTTCTGTGAGTTCAAAGCTAGACTGGTCTACAAAATGAGTTCCAGGCCAGCTGGAGCTTCAGGGAGATCCTGTCTTAAAAAGGTTAAAATAAAATAAAATAAAATAAAAATAATAATAATAATAATAATAATAATGATGATGCATTGGTCTAGAATCTAAAGTTTGGCTATTTATATCATTTTTTAATTTTATTTATTATTTTTATTTTATGTGTATGCATGTATTGCCGGCATGTAGGTAAATGAACCCGTGTCGTGCAATGACCACAGAGGGCAGAAGAGGCTGTGGGATCCCCTGGGACTGGAGTTACGGACAGTTGTTAGCTGCCATGTGGGTGCTAGGATTCAAACCCAGGTCTTCTGCAAGAACAACCAGTGTTCTTAACTACTGAGCCATCTCTCCAGCCTCTTATTTATATCATTTTATCTTTCTGAACCTAATCCTTCCTAGAAAATGAGGCTGAGAACAACTGCTGAAGAGTAGTTTTGTAGAATTTAATGAATCAGGAATGGGGAAAGATATCTTCAAAACTATAAATTAAGGGACAAAAAAAGCTCCTTATCCACCCATGTACCATGTCTTTCTTCCCAGGGACCAAAGAATTCTTACCTCTTTCAAACTTACCTCCTCTACTGGGATGAAGGCACTGGGCCCTCGAGGGCCTCGCCGAATCGGGACATTCCTCTGCTCCTGTGGGGAAACACATGGAGGTTAGTTGGCAGAAGAAAGGAGGATGCAGAGGGCTGTGATCTCTCCAGCTTGCTCCTCTAGCCCTGAGCTGGTACACTGAACTTCTAAAAGCACCTTTCTGGAACACCCTGCATGGAGGACCGGGGGAAGATTTTTACCTATTAGATGGGTAGCTAATGGGTAAGCAAGAAAGGCTCATAGAAAATGACCTGTTCAGGAACTGAGAGGAACCCAGGAGCCCCTGCATGGTTGGGTGGGATGGACCCTGAGAAAGGAAATATACAGCCTCTCTCTCTCTCTCTCTCTCTCTCTCTCTCTTTCTCTCTCTCCACCCCTCTCTCCACCTACCTTCCTTGCCTCCCTCCCTTTCTCCAGTGCTGAGGATGAACTGAGGCCTCATGCCTAGCATGCTGGATACATTCTGCCACTGAGCTGTACCCACAGCCCTGCAAATGGTTACTTTAGACTTTCCTCCACATATCACAGACGATCTCTACTCTGTGCCTCACCAACTATTGTCTCCCTGCCTCCACCACCCTGCTCTCTCCTATTTATCCTCTACCCCTCTACCCAGCAACTAGATTAACTTTTAGTGGCCTAGGCCCACACCCCTCCCACTTCTCACAGGTCACCCTTTTTAGAACCCTACAGTCCTTCAAGGTCTAGGAATATTGTCTGGCCCTCATCTGTGACCCCACTATTTCCAGTGTTTTTGCTTATACAAACACTGTCCTCTAATGGCCTCTTTTAAGTCGCTCTACTCCCAGATCACATTTTGTGGTGAGCAGGGCCAGGTCATTCATTCTGCTCTCTGAATGAAAATAGAGAAAGCGGAGATGCGGAGGAGGGAACCAAAGCAGGGTGTAAGGCTGGTAGAGACAGCTATCAGCACTTGAATATATTTGAGTCAGAACCACATATTCACTAAAGCAGCTTCTCCTATTTCTAGATATGTGGTCTGGGAGTACACAAATTTATTTATTTGCTTATTTTGTATCAGAGTGGTGTTCTCCAAACTGGCTTTGAAATAATTTATCCAAATAACAACCATGTCTTCCCTACAAAGAGATGGAGTCCCCCAGTCCTCCTTTTCCCATTAAGATCCAGATTTAGGAGGTTGGAGAGACGGTTCAGAGGTTAAGAGAACTGGCTCCTCTTCCAGCGGTCCTCGGTTCAGTTTCCAGCACCCAAATGGTGGCAAACAACTGTCTGTAGCTCCAGTTCCAAGGGATCCAATGCCCACTTCTGCCTCCACAGGCATTACACACACATGGTGCACTTACATACATACAGACAAAACACTCATACATATAAAATAAGCAAATTAAAAAAAAAAAAAAAGACTTTGTACTCGCCAATGTATGAGGACTCAAAACTGTAATTGAACCTTTTTTTCCTTCAAGTGGCCAAAAGTTTCCTAAAAGAGAGGCAGACCTCTAGGGGTCCAGAAGATGACAACGAAAAGAAATAGGTAGGTCCTGGGAACCTGTTCTTCGTGACCTTGTGTGACTCTGGTAAAGTTACTTAGGCTCTCTGGGTCTGAATCCTGAACAAAGGGGGCTGGGTTGACTGCTCCGGCCTCTTTCAACTCATACTTCTAAGAGGTGCCAGGCTAGGCTGGTCAGAGGACATGTAGAAAGCTTCCCTTTCAGCTTCCCTCCTCCCTAACTTGAGAAAATGCCCAACAGCTCTGTCTGAGAGATAAGAACTGCTGACTCCACAGATGGGGCCTCCCTCTCACCGGGACCTGCCGGCAGCCAGAAAACTGTAGCAGGGCTAGATTACCTGTAATACCAGCACTGGGGAAGTAAAGGTGGGAGGATCAGGAGCTTGAGGCCAACCCCAGCTACATAGTGAGGTGCTGTTACAAAAAAGGGTGGGAGGGAGTGGGATATGCAAATATTAAAATTCAAAGCTGAAAAAATAAAATTAAAAAAGAAAACCATAGCAGTGCTGGAGGACAAATGGAGACCATAGGGCCCCAGCAGATGTGCTGGGAGGGACAGGGAACAGCCTTGGGCATCATCTCAGTTCAGAAGTCTGGCCCAGCTGTCAAAGGAAGGAAATGAAACCTTAAGTGATACTCTTCTTGACCAATCAGCATTTCCCAGCAAAATTTACAATAATAATATTAATAATAATGTAGAGTATAATTAAAGATAGAAGCTTTGGGGGTTGGAGCTATAGCTCAGTGGTAGAATGTTGCTATAGAGAGAGCTAAAAGCATAGTTCAGTAGCAAAGCAATTGCCTAGCACACACACTCACAAAAAAAAGTCAGGCAGTTTTTGACACAAACTGCCTGAACTCAATTGATAGCTCCACACACCATTTAGCCATGTGAGCCTCAGTTGTCTCACAGAATAATGGGACTTTCACTGGGTAGTCATGAGGATTTAATGGGATTTTGTTACACAGCTTAGCTCAGCACCTCCATCAGGGTAAGCACTTAATAAAAGTCCCCTGTCATTAACTTCATTGTTCCTTCAAACAAGGGTCTCTTGGCCCAAGCAGTACATTCAAATCCTTTTGTGAAGTTTTTTTTTACAAATTGAAATCAAGGCCCCACTTTCAGCAATGTACATACAGACAGGTGAGGGCCATTAAGTTTGTGCCATTTACTGACTGCTCTCTCAGGTCCAAGGCAAGGTGCTAAGTGCATACCAGGGGAAAAGAGAAATAATTTGTTCATTTGACAATTTTTTTATAACTATATTGCAGGCAGTATGACTACAACGGTGAGAAGACAAAGTCTCAGCCTTCACATAATTTTAGATCCCAGGGAGAAAGGTAAACACATGGTGAACAGGAGTTCCAGTCACAGAACAGGGAATGAAACAGAGCAGAGTTGAATGACTGGGTGGGAGAGTGTGATATTTTTGTGTAAGAAGACAGGAAAAAGCACTGGGGAGGTAACCTGTGAGCTCAAAAGTAATTTGGAGAAGCAGCAGCAGAGTCCGTGAGGACACAGGGGACCAGTACTTCAGCCACAGGGAACACTGGGAAGTCCTGAACAAAAGACCAAGGAGCTAATCCATGGTTCCAATATTCTGAATACTTCTCTGACCCTGACATCAGGGAAAGTTCATGGGGAGCCGGGGGAGCAGGAGGAGCAGGAGGAACAGGGTCTCACTGCCAAGAGATGATACTACCAAATGGCACTCCTCTCCACCCCACTGGCCGAGACAGACAAGTCAATAATAATATCAAGTAATAATAACAATAGGTAACCTTTCCATTAGCTAAGCACTGACTTCACATGTACTTAATTATCTAGATTTAAAATTTTTTTATTTTATGTTTATAAGTGTTTTGCCTGCATGTAAGTGCACCTGTGCATGCAATGCCTGCAGAGGCCAGAAGAGGGTGTCAGATCCCCTGAACTGGAATTATGGAGGGTTGCTATCTCCCATGTGGGTGCTGGAATCTGGGTCCTCTGCAAGAGCAGCCAGTGCTCTTAACTGGTGAGCCATCTTTCCAGCCTTACCTAGACTTTTAAGGAGTTTGTTGTTTTGGGTTTTTTTTTTTAGTCTTTTTGAGACAGGGTCTCCCTGTAAACCCCAGTTGGCCTGGAACTCACTATGTAGACCAGGCTGGCCTTGAACTCAGAGATCCACCTACCCCTGCCTCTCAAGAGTGCTGGGAGTAAAGGCATGTGCCACCACACCCAGCTTTAAGGAGATTTCAAAAAAAAAAAAAAAAATGTGTGCGTGTGTGTGTGTCTATGCATGTGAGTGCAGGTGCCTGAAGAGGCCAGAGGCATTAGCTCCCCTGGAACTGGTGTTAAAGGCAGATAATAAGCTATCCCATATGGGTCCTGGGAATCAAGTGCTCTTAACCCCTGAGCCATCATCTCTCCAGGCCCTACTACCTAGACTTTAAGGTAGAAGCTACTCCTGGACCTTTACAGATAAGGAATAATGCTGGGGGGGGGGGGTTCAAGTCACTCTGGTCACTCAGCTAGGAAGGAGACAGGAGAGTGACTATAGGCCAGGTTCCTGCAAGTGTTGAAGGCATTCTCCACCCTCTAACCTTCTCAATGTTTCAGCAATCAAGACTTGTACACCTGGGGCCCACCAGGAACAAGAAGCTCCTTGTGTCTTCCCACAGCCCAGGAACCCACTACTCACACCTATCACAGGGATTCTCGCCTTGAGGGCACACACTGGATCCAGTTCCCTGTTGTGACCCAGAGTCTAGTACTGCACAGTCCAACAGAACAGTCTACAATGGTGGAGCGTTTTACACCTGTACTGTCTAATATGCTCCGTAGTCCTTAGTCATTCTTCCTGCCCCAGCATTTGAAATTTATACTACAGTATAAAAATCCTGAGTCTTCTGCTTTACTCAATTTGAATTTAGTTTAATAATTAATTTTGGGGGTTTTTTTTTTGTTTTGTTTTTTTGAGTCAGGGTCTCCACGTAGCCCCAGCTGGGTTTTGTAGACCTGGCTGGCCTCCATCTCACAGAGCTCAGCCTGCGTCTGCCTCCTGAGTGCTGGGATTAAAGGTGTGCATGGGCTACTATACCTGGCTTATTTTCGAGATGAGGTTTCACGATGAAGCCCAATTTGTCTTAAAACTTTCAATACTCCTGCCCCTGCCTTTGTGGTAACAGAGCTCATAGACATACCCTACTAATTCTAAATTCTGTTCTGTTGTTTTTGAGACAAGGTCTCACTTTGTCTCCCAGGCAGGTCTGGAGCTCATTATGTGGCCTTGAACTCATGGCACTCTTCCTACCTTAGCCTCCTAAGTGGGCGAATTACAGATGCGTACCTCACACCTGAGGTTACCAGCTTTAAATTTAGTCACATGTGTCTAGGGACTGCCATATTGAAGAGCACAGGTTATAAAGGCATGATTCCAAATACCCTTTAGAGATGAAGACCAGGGAAACCCAAAGGGGGCAAGTCACCTGTTTGTACCAGGCAATTAGAGAGCCAACAACAGAGGATGTTCCTGTATTTCCAACTGAGGGGATCACATGGGGCAGCAGGAACAATGAAGTCTGACAGCTCCCCAGGAGGGCTGACTAGGAGGTCTTTAGGCCAGCTGTGAAGAGGATAATCACCTCTGAGCTGGACACCCCATCCTCACTCAAGTGTTCATTAGACATTAACTTTTGTGTTAACCCAAGTGCTCCTACCCAGTTTCCATATAATTTTCATCAGTTTGGAGGTTATGGGGATTATTTTTGCATATAGGGAAAGATTAATGGTCTAAAAATTAAACAAATAGCTAATCTGCAATTTGAACCCAGGACCATCTAGCCTCTAAGTCTCTTTCCATTCCATCCTAACAACTTCTGGAAGTGGCACTAGACCCAGAGATTTGAATCCAGCAGTTTGACTTCCCAGAGTTCTGTCTGGCTGCATGAACCCCTTGGAGTAGCCCAGGCTTTGTTCCTGTTCTCTGGAGTCTGCCAGCCCCAGGGCTCAGTTACAAACACCTGCTAAATCATTTTGCCAGCTGGGAAGGACAGGCACTGTCCACCACCTGTCAGCTGAATTCAGATAGGTGTTTGGGTTTACACCTGAGGTGAAGACAGCACAAGCAGCCCCTGACCTCCACCAGCCTTGAGGGACAGGGAATGGAGCTACATATATGCATCCTGAACTGGGCCCCAGGTTAAGTGCTTTATCCCTTTGATCTCACAAGCACCTTAATTCCTCTCAGTTACCCCGAGGGAAAGAAACCTTGTTGTCCCTTTAGAGACTAGTAACCACAAAGCTCAGAGGATGAATCCTCTTCTTGACTGGCACAATTCAGATGGAACTTCAAAGACTGAACAGTTAGTTTACAAGGGCCAGTTAATTCAACTAGGGTGGATGATTGTAAACAGTTGCAAAGAACAGTGCCAGTGGCTGAAACTTGCAGGGTGTCACTAGTCCAGTGAAGACGACAGAAAAGAAAGGCCCAAGTTTCACAGGAATGGGCCCAAAGCTCCTCAAGGCAGAGGGGACTAGAAGGCAAAGAGACACCTGTGGTGGGAAAAGAAAAGCTTCCCTGAGGAAGTGATGCTTGAGGAAGTCATTCTAAAACCCAAAATGGCTTTGAAAATATACTACCTCAGACAAGAGTGAGCCCTTGGAACTTTCTGGAGATAGGCACATCTGAAGGTCTTGACCCTCTGAAAGGTGATCTGGAGTGAAAGGGAGTTGAGGGCACTGTACATCTGGCCCTTCTCTCCAGTCCTGAGCACAAGACTCTGTAAGACGGACACCCTATCTTCTCAGGATTCCACTTACAGCAGACAAGTTCAAGGTCATCTTTTCTTGAGAGAGTAGACACACTGAATACATTACCAGCTTTGCTCAGTACTGGAAAGTGACTTCCTAAAGCCTTGTAATCCCCAACATTCAGGAGGCTGAGACAGGAAGACTATCATGAGTTCAAGGCAAGCCTGAACTACAGCGTGAGATCCTATCTCAGAAGTGGGTGTTGGGAAGGGCTTCCTCTAAGGCCATTCTATCTCCCTAGATCCCTACCCAAGCAGTTGAGACTTTTCTCCCTAACAGCCACTGTGGGCAGAGGGATATGTAGGCTCTCTCACAGGAGGGGACAGGTCCCAGAGTCCTTTGAAAGGCTCTGGGGGTGGAGGTGGGGTGGGGATGTACACTGTGACAGTTTGGCAGAAGCTACCATTTTAAGTGCAATGACCACATCCTATGCAATAAATATGTCCAGGCTCTAAGCTTCCAGCTTCTGGCCTTTGCTTGTATTCTGAGTTAATTCTTCCAACAATCTCTTAGCGATACCATCAAATCACCATGAAAGAAACTGCAATCAGAGAAGCTGACCACTTGGCTAAGATAACACAGCAAGAAAGCGGAGGGCTGGGCCTGAAAACCAGCACTTGGCTCACCAGAATGCTCAGGTGCCCTCAGTTCAATACCAGCATTATTTCCATTTTTCACAAAAACAGACAAAGGTGAGGTAGGAGTGAGGAGTCATTTCTTCACATAGATCTGCTAAATCCTACTGAAGAAACCACCCACCACTGGTCAGAGAACCCTCAAAATCACTCAGCTGACACGAGCAGAGATTTTTCTCAGGGTCATCCACTTTAGGACTAACATGCCCGCCCCTTTCTAGTCCTAGCAATATACTTTCACGCTGTTCCAGGCTTGGAAAATAAAGAAAAGAGCAAAACCCCGTACAGTGCCAAGCAGTCTCCAAAATCCTAGACACATACAGGCCAAAAAGAATGAGATACTCCTCGGGGATAAGTGAAAGCGGCCTCACCCTCACTCATCCCCTTTTGAGCCTCGGTTTTCTCATCCTGCAAAATGGGGCTTTATTGTACAGTTTATATTTTGCTGGTTTGGTCAGAGACAAAACTCAGACCCTGGCATCTAGTAGGTGTTTAATAAATAACAAATGACGTTCATGATAGCAGCTGCTAGCGGGGAAGGGGCTGAGGTGTTTTTTTTTTTGTTGTTGTTGTTGTTTTTTAAGTCTAGCTTCATTCTTTGCCTCCCTGCAAAGCCCCTCTATGTTCTGCCCCGGAGCCAGTTCCAGCGAAACAAACTTCGAGGAACCCAGGCTATTTTAATAGGGAGCAAGCAGCACTAACTGGTAAATCTTCAGCCGTCAGGGCCAAGGGTCACCCACTCTCTCCCCCAGCTTTGACGGCTACCACCAGCCACCCCCCGCCCCAAAGCTTCCAGATCGAGGGTGCAGGTGGGGGCTGTGGAGGGGAATCGACCTTCGTGGACCAGCGCCAGGTGGCTTCAACTCCCTGCTAGGCGCAGTCCTAGCAGAAACCTATCCTAGAAAGAGCTAGCCGGGTGCCCGGCTCCGCCGGGAGGAAGGGAATCTGCGGAAGGGGGCGGGGAGGAGGAGTGGTCGGCTCGCTCCGGCCGGGATTTGCCTGGACTTGAAGACGCTCGCTCCACCGGAGCACAAACCCGGGAGAAGCCTCCAGAAGGCGTCCCCACTCATTGGCCAGGAGTCCGAGGGAGGCAGGGGAGGGCTCTGCAGCCCCCCTCCCGGGGTGGGGGGGAAGGGGGAGGAGAACAGGGCCCGAGAGGGGAAGGGAGGGAGGCCAGAGGCTGCAGTTGATGCAACCCTAGTCCTCGCTTACGTGCACCCCTCCCCTGCCCCGAGCCCGGGGGGTTGGGGGTTGGGGGGCGGCAGACTCATCTCGGGATAGCCGGGGGCTCGGGGAAGAGTGGCGTCGCTTGGCGGCTGCTTACCTCCGCTGTCTGCGGGCCGCCGACGCCGCCCCTGGCGAACGGCAGGTAGCCCTTGAGCTCGGCGCGGCACTCGGAGTCCGCCACGATCATGGTGTGCGCCAGAACCCAGGCGCGGCTGGCTGGTCAGCGACCCGGGGCACCCGAGGGGGGCGAAGGGGGCTGGGACCGGCGCGGGCAGGAAGCCCGGGGCTCGGGGTCGCTGGAAAACCGTGGGGTGTCTCTCGGGTTTGCAGGACGCTTGGGACGCTGAGAGCCGCGGCTGTCGTGCTGGACACTTCTTCTTGCAGTTGGGGACCCCGGAGGCCCTGGGTCGGCCGCGGCGCAGGGTTCGTCAGGGCCCTGAGTGCCTCGGAAGTCCGCAGTGGCCGGCGCGGCTCACGGAGCCGGCGCTGCTCAGCATCCCCAGCGCGGAACTGCCAGCGCTCACCGGGCTCTGACACCAGCGGCGCCGCTCAGCCCGCTGCGGTCCCCGGGGGAGGGCGGGGACACAAAAGCCCCTTCGGCGCAGCCAATCAGAGGCCTGTTTCCCGGGGAGGCGGGGGCGGCACCGCCCTCTGGAGACAACTAGGCGTCCAATAAGCGTGGAGAAGCGCTCGGGAACTCTGGGAGCTGTAGTTGGCTGCCTACAAATGCTGCAAACTTTTGCAAGAAGGGTTAGTCAGATCCCTGGCAATACCAGATGAGAGTGACAGCCCGTGGAGTCATTGGCGCATCCATGATGAAACGGGACTTCACGGAGCTGAGCCAGAGAGCCAGGTGTGAAATCCCTCCCTAATGACTTCTTCAGCTTTCCAGTTCCTGGAGGGACTGGTTAGGGTTGGGAGAGGTTGGGTTCAACCTTACCCAATTGTGTTAATTATAGAGCAAATACCACATATTTGGAGGCCAGAAGCCACCACCCTGTCCCCTCAGGCGAGGACTCCACTTCCAGACACGGGAAATCTGGAAAAGCCCTCACTCTTTGAAATGCCCTTGGCAATCTCCTATCCAAACTCAATCCTTATTGCTACAATTTCCCCTCTTCCCGTTGCTGTCTTGGTACCCTCAGGTCTGGCTTCCAACATAGAGGCCCTCCTCGAAACTTTATAGCAAGGTGTTGGACTGGGTCGATTCTCACTTCTCCCTCTGGCCACTCCTCTGACTCCTCTTTCTCCTCCCACTCCCTAAACGTGAGTGCTCCCCTGGTTTCTGTTTTTATTCCTCTTCCCAGACACACTCTCTTTCTTCAACTCTCCTTTCACCAGGAGTTGCCTCTTCCAGCCCCTCAGTACCTTAAAACTTGATTCATCTATTCACTTCCCACAGTCTCTTCCTGTTTTTCTTCAGGCCTTTCTTTTTGTTTCAATTTAAAAGTGTCTTCTTTATTCAGGACAAGGAGTCCAGGCTGGGACTAGAACTGACTAGTTCTCCCAGATCACCTTTAAGAACATTCTGAGTTCAGGGGCTGGAGAGATAGGTCAGTGGTTAAGAACACTGGTTATTCTTGCAGAAGGCCTGGGTTCGGATCCCAGCACACACATGACAGCTAACAACTGTCTGTAACTCCAGTCCCAGCAGATCTGACAGCCTCTTCTGACCTCCATGGGCATTGCTGGACACAGGTGCACTTACCTATATGTAGGCAATACATGCATACACATAAAATAAAAAAAAGGAAAGAACATTCTGAGTTCAGGCTTATGATTCCAAAGATGATCTGACTTGGTCTAAGTGCCTCTAGTTTATGGGGTGCAGGAAATTATCTCAGAAATTATCTTCTGAGCTCCCAAGGCACCTGGGCTGGGCATTTCTCTGTTAAACAGTTATCATACTCTACTTTGTATTGTCATTTTCTGTGTATACGTCTTTTTTTTAAGATTTACTTTTTTATTCATGTGTATATCTGTGTGTCTGTGTGTCTGTCTGTCTGTGAGGGCCAGAAGAGGGTGTTGCAGTTACAGGCAACTGTGAGCCGCCAGATGTGGGTGCTAGGAACCGAACTCAGCTCCTCTGGAAGAGCAGTAAGTGTGCTGAACTGCTAAGCTATCTCTCTAGCTCTCTTCTGTGTAAATGTCTTACCTGAAACTTTTGATTATAAACTCCTTGAGGACTGGGTCCACATTCTGACAGCTTTTTCTCCTGTCCTCTGCCACTTAGTACAGTGTCCTTCTAATAATATGCCCTGTGGTCCCTGGATGTCCCTTTGAGTCAAACTATCTTCTAACAATCCTATAACAGATTCAGCTTTCATTAATTTTTTTTTTTAACTCTGTGGGCTGGGGATGTAGGTTAGTGTTACAAAACTTACTGAGGAATCTAAGGCCTTAGGTTTCATTCCCAATACACATACACAAAAATAACTCTGTAATGTCAGTATCCAGGTTAAAAAAAAATTCACTGGTATTTCATCAGCTACAAAATAAAGCTAAACCTCAAGATTGATCCTTCAAGGCATGCCAAGATGAGCCTCAACCTACCTTTTCAGTCTTATCTGTCACACACATGATCCTTGTTTAGCTTCCAAATTTTTCAGGCTTTTTTTTTTTGGTCTTTTTGAGACAGGGTCTCCCTGTAGCCACAGCTGGCCTGGATTCACTATGGAGACCAGGCTGGCCTTGAACTCACAGAGATCTGCCTGCCTCTGCCTCCTGAATTCTGGGATTAAAGGCGTGTGCCACCGTGCCTGGCTCTAAGACTTCTTTTAAGGCAAGGAATTGTGTCTCTGTATCCCTCACCTCACTACCATTTGTATTTATTAATTTTTTTTTCAGTGCTGGGAATTGAATTGGGGTCTTATACATGCTAGACCAGTATTCCACTGAGCCACACCTCCATGCCTCTGGTACATATTTATAAATTAATGAGTCAATGTCCTCATAAGAATAATCCTTTAAAAAGATGGACATGGGCCTTGGAGAGTTGGCTTAGTGGTTAAGAGCACTGGCTGCTCTTGCAGAGGACCTGGGTTCAGTTTCCAACAACCGTTCATAACTCCAGTTCCAGGGGATCTGACACCCTCTTCTGGCCTCCATAGGCATTGTACACATAGGTGCACTTACATACATGGAAGTAAAACACTCATACACATAAAAGTAAATAAAGTTTTAAAAATATATTTGTTTTCAAAAACAACATGGACATAGTGTGTTTCTGTAATCCCAACATTTAGGGGCAGAGACAAAAGGATCACCAAGGGAAGCCCAGACTACATGAGGAGACCCTGTCTAAAAATCAAAAGAAATTTTTTTTTTCTTTTTTTTCTTTGGTCTTTTTGAGACAGGGTCTCCCTGTAGCCCCAGCTGTCCTAGAACTCACTATGTAGACCAAGCTGGCCTTGAACTCACTGCCTCCCAAGTGCTGGGATTAAAGGCGTGTAGCACCACCCCCGGCAAAAATTAACTTTTTAATCTTCAGAGATATGGCTGTGAGCTTCACTTACAAAGCCTTTTTTTTTTTTTGAGATAGGGTCTCCCTATAGCCCCAGCTGACCCAGAACTCATTATGTTGATCAGGCTGGTCTCAATCTCAGAGATCTGCCTGCCTCTGCCTCCTGAATGCTAGAACTAAAAGAACTGTACCACCAAGACTGACCTGCTAATGTTTTTTTGAGAAGACAATCAAAAGCCACTGATACTCTAAATTGAGTGATCTTTTGCTCCCCAGCTTCTAAGGAATGAAAGAGGAAAGCTAGAGACTCTTAACCTTCATTCAGCTCTACTAAGAGTTCAAGATACATACATTGCCCCAGTGAACTCTCACCGAAATCTCATGAAGCAGGCTTATGTCCCCATTTGGGAGATGACAAAACTGAAGCTCAAGAGGTGTGCTGGCCCAGGTCAGATGGCTTAGTAATATGCTGAGTGTTCAAACCCAGTATGACTCCATACCAGAAACTGTCACACCAGTGATGAGGGAACGATGTGAACATCCAAGAGGCAGGCTAGCACATGTAATTGATGCCTAGAGCAGATATAGTAATTGGTAAGAAATATAACTGTAAAGTGGCTTATAATTGATGGGCCAACACATCTTTGTGACAGAGCTTCCATGGAAAGCCAAGTTATCATTTGAAGATGGCTAGGACAAGAGTGACCAATGAAATAAATGAATCACGGAATTCACTCTGCTCAGAGAGAGCTATTTCCTCCTTCCCTGTTTCATTCAGTAAATATTTATTGACTATGTAGAGTGTACCAGTTGCTGAACTGGGTTCTGGAAATTCAGCAGTGAAACTACAAGCCCAGTGGGGAATGGGGAGGTGTGTGTGACACTGACACTGGCTGGGTATGCTTCACTCTAATGTGGCCTTTCCATGATTTATCACTCCATATGTCATTTTCTGAGCTCTCGTTTCTCAGCTCCATTCCCCAACTGCAGAACACAATTTCTGCCCAGGGAAATCTTGTAAGAAGTCTTACTCCAACTGGTTCGGTTTGATAAAAACCAAAGGAGACATCCCCACAGCCCCACCAAAAGCTTACTCACACATTCATTGACTTATTAATCAGGCATTGTGTGAGATGCTGAGGGAGGTCCTTCATGCTTGGGGCTGCTAGGTCCTCAGCTGTCAAAAAAAATACAACCAACACTGACTTTGTCCCTTAGTTTTTCATTAGTGGGATGGGAAACACAGACTCTCTGAAACAAAGCCAAATCTCCTAGCAGCATTTTTGAAAAGTCAGGCACCTCGGGTGCTTGTTTTTAGCCTTTTCACCAAGCTGAACCTCCTCCATTCCCAACTCGTAGAATCTGTTTCCTCATTTGCAAAACAAAAGAATTGAAAAGTGCCCTAACCCTCCGAAGCCACTGTGGAGAGGACTGGTGTTTGGGGAACGTATGTCATTCACTGTCCTCGACTGCAGATTTTGGACAAACAACAACAACAACAAAACAACAACAAAAAAAAACTCTTCAGGTTTGGAAAACCTCAGCCCTCTAAATAAAGTACGAAAACTAACTTGCTTTGGGTACTTTTGGACAATTAACTGGAGTTTTCCAGTTTAGTCAATTGAGCGGGCCCGCAGCGCCCCCTGCAGGCCAGATCTTGCTAGAGCTCAGCCAGAACGGAGGACCCAAAAAGGACGGCTAGAAGGCCGCTCCAAACCATTTTCAGTTTCTATATGTGATTGATTGTCGGGTCCTAAGTCACAGCCTCAAGGTCTTGAAAAGAGGCCAGACAACGGCTAAACAAAGATTGTGTGGTTGCTGGAGGCTAGCAAGAATTAAGCTTTCACGAGACTTCACAGTCTAAATGTTTTCCCCATTGTTTTGTCTTACTCGCTCATTCCACAGGCAGGAAGCCTCTGGTCATGGTGGGGCACATCCCACCTTAATTCCCAGCACTCAGGAGGTAGAGGCAGGTGGAGCGCTTGAGATCGAGGCCAGCCTGGTCTACATAGTTCCAAGCCAGCTGGATCTACGGGCAACCCCTGACTCAAAAAAATTTTAATTAAAAGTAAATAAATAAAGAGATAAG